AACCTATCCTATCACTCTTTTCCATTTATCTATCTATCTATCTATCAAGGGGTAATCACAAAAACAGTTTGGAATTACACTTCAGGCATTCCCCCAAAACATAACACACCCCCACGTAACCCTACCTGACCGGAAAGCTAGCTTGAGTACATTACCTGAAATGCAATTTGAAACTGTTTTTATCTATCGATCTGTCTGTCGGCCTATCTATCATCTACGCACACGCGTCGCCTCTCTCCATCCTACGAATCCTGCCTATCTTCCTGGAATCCTGCTTCTTGCCGGCTTTCTCTCCTCGTCGACATTGTCGTCATCATCATTCTTCTCATTGCCCTTGGCATCTGAATTGCCACTAGCCACGGACGATGTTTTTTCCTTCCCCTTTAATCGTGTCACAATACTAAAGATGGAGAGGAGGAGGAAGACGAAAACTAGAATGAGGAGGAGCATGAGCAATAACTTGATTTCTTTCAGCTGAAAACAGAGAAGAGTGTCGATATTCTTACAGAGGAGGACGATAACGACGACGACGACGACGACGCGCAGCAGTGTTACGGTCGTCGTCCCGTGCAACGGTCTGTAGCCGTCTCCACAGGGCTCGAACGACGCTGGCGAGGACTCTTGGCGATGGCGAGGTTTGGCAGGCCTCGTCCGCATTCGAAAAAGACTCATGGGTCCTATGGAGCCGACATCCGGCTGAGCGAGGAACTCCGCTCAGAACCCGCCCGACTCGACCTATGTCCTTGCTCAGATTCGTGCCCTATGTTCTTGCTCAGACCACGAATCTGATCTCCTTTTTTCTTTTTTTTCTCCTCATCGGGGAACAGCTATATATCCTAACCCTTAAGGAGCATTGGCCGCCGGGGGAGGCCTATGGTCCGCTGTGCGCCTAAATCGGGTGGAAGAAATCGGGTGGAAGTTTTGGTGAGGGCCGGGCGGATGAACGCGATGGAGGGCGGGGCGGCGGCGTGGCATGCAGAGCGGTGCGCGTACCGAATTGTTCACATTGCGCCAAAAAACAAGAGACCGCGCCCATCTGGCCGGGCAGCGGCGGGCGTCGACGCAAGGGAATATCTCGAAGCGCCCGCCGTCAGATAGCAAGAAAGTGTCGTTTTGTTTCTCGTTTTTTTTTGTGTTGTTTTTTTTTTTCAGTTTCACATTTTCGAGGGTTTTTTTTTTTTTTTTTTTTTCTCCGTCTTCGGCCGCGGGTTTGCTTTTTTTCGTTTCATTTTTCCGTGTGTGGTCGTCGCTTTGCCTTTTTCCGTTTCGTTTCTCGTCCACAGAGGCAGGCGAGAAAAAGACAGTACCCCCACCGCGATACCTCGGGAAAAGGACAGAGTACCCGCACACCCACATGCACCCACCCAGGCCCAGCCCCATCCACCTACCCACCCACATGCACACGCACCCCC